TTGCAAAGCCATCCACAACACTGCCCCTAGCTACATCGCCAACCTCATCTGCAGATATCGCCCACTCCACTCCTCCCAAGATATTGTCCTCTCCAGCTCCCTCATCACTTCCTCCAAGACTTCTCCAGAGCCTCTCCCATCATCTGGAACTCCCTATCCAACCCTGTCTGCCTTTTAGGCGATCTTTGAAAACTCACCTCTTCAGGGAAACCTACCCTACCTCCACCTAAGAACTGTACTTGAATCACCTCCACCAGATCATCTCCCACAGCTATCACCTTTTGTATCACCTCCTCCTTCCTTTAGATTGTAAGCTCCACGATCAGGGCCTTCATATTCCTTCTGTACTGAAATGTATTGTAATTGTACTGTCTCCCTTATATTGTAAACTGCTGTGCAAACTGTTGGCGCTATATAAATCATGTATAATAATAATACCCCTATGCAGAAACTTATAAATTGGAGGTCAGAAAATACAACCTTGCTCAAGTTTCTGTCTTTTCAAGCAAACCTGAAATGTGTCATATGTACCTAACCCAGTGCTGTTAGCGCAGAGCAGACATATTAAATCCTTTCTTAAGCTCTCCATACACACAGACTTTTTGTTTGATCAGCCTGCAGGGTACGTACAGAAAAATCAAACAAATTCCTCCATCCACACTACACAGCATGGATGGGTGAATATCCTGCTGCGGCTATTGTATTTTGACAACCACTGTTTATGTACTAACTTTCTGTCTGGCTGCTCTGATTATTCTTTCAAAGGATGTTGGATGGAAAGTGGTCATCAGAGCCACCCACTAAACGAATTTTGACCATTTCATTGGGGGCTGGCCGTAATTTGCTCTGTTCATGGACAGCTTTAGTGATAACTGTTTAGGCTGCCTGTCTACTTTGATATACACTTCTTCCTGAGTCAATTTTGTTGGGATCTGGCTATTTCACTTGCTATCTGCCAAGCTGTGCTGTTGACAAGGAAACCTACCTATCAAAAGAATGTCCAAGGGTACAAACCTGGCCATACTTGTATAGATTTGTTTTTCTTCAGCATGAAGGGCTGAATGAAAGAAAATTAACAGATTCTTTCATCCACACCAAAAGCACAGATGGACAAATCTACCTGCCTGGCTATTGTATTCTGACAGTCAACACCGCAGGCTGTCATAATATCCAATCAGAGCCTTCCTCTTACTACATACAGTTGATAATTTTCCAACAGGCTCCTTCAACAAAAGTCAATTGACTGACTTTACCGGTTGAATTTTGACAGAAGCGGCATGAATTTTGAACAATGACTAGCTCTACAGCTAAATTTGTACTATTTACATTACCCTAAAGCTTAACTGTGGCAGATATAAAAGACAGATATTAATGCTACTCCGTAAATAGGAATACGTAATTTTATTTTAGATGTAAATAGTGTAAGTACCTGAATTTGACCTGATATCAGCCTCTTATACTCCCTGTGCAGCAGGTTCGAAGTGTGAGAGGAAGAAGCAGCATACGGAGCCCATCAGTGTATGTGCTGACGAGAAGCTTGCCGATAGGAAGAGCAATCAGAGTGACCTAGAGATGAATATGCTGCTTCTCCTTTCTCTGTTCAGTCACAGGCTGGGGCAAGTTCAGAACAACCTGCCCATATGGGAGAAAAATATATCTGAAATATATTTTAAAAATATTCTTCCCAAATATATTGCCATATATTTTAAATACTACAATTTTGTCCATATTCAATGTGTGTGTGTGTGTGTATATGTGTATGTATGTACATGGGGGGTTGTGGTAAATTGTGGTGTGTGTGTGTATAAGGGGTTATAGGTATATAGTGTATATTTGGAATTGTATTCAGAATCAAATCCTACAAGGACGTTGTGGTGTACCCAAATGCAACTAAAATGAATCAATTGAACCCCTTGTAATACGTAGTAAATGGTTTTATGCATGTTTCTTCATGGCCAAAATTATTCAACCCCTTAAAGACTACCACAACAGAAGAACAGAGGTTCATACAGGTGCTTTGAATCAGGTATTGAAAACACCTTGGATGTTCACCGGCAGCAATCAAGCATAACATAAGCACCAATTAGTGCAGGGCTTTAAAGTATGTGAACCTTTGACTTAATCCTTTTTGGGTAACCTTAACAAACATGGTGAAGTTGCAGAAGAGAATGGTCTGGAGGAAGACAAGAGAAGAGGTGATTTCTCTTCACAGGAAGGGCAATGGGCTATAAGAAGATGCCACAGATTTCAATCGGGTTGAGGTCAGGACTCCTGGGACACTTAGGAAGCATATTTGTGCAAATTCAAGGCCACTGTTTTGTTGAAACTTGTCGTGGCAGAAAAAGATTGCTGTTGACTTCGACTGCTGTGCCTCTGCTGAGCGTAGTTGGCGGAGAGATGGTCCCCGTGTACGGTTTTTGAGGAACTGAGAAATGATTTGTCAAACTCTGGGTACAGAAGTTTTCAGCCCAGATCAATAAGACGCACAACTGCGTAATGAAGGCCCTCCGTGCCAAAGCTCCCAGGCGTATGCCCCTTGCTGTTTAAGTGGGGAATAAGAGGATTTGATGTTGGACTGCAGTATGCCAAAAGCCATGTGGACAAACCACAAAAGTTGTAGGGTTTGTGTTCTGTGGACTGATGAAACAAACTCAAACTTGGTTTGGGCCCATGGATCCACAGTATATTTTGGTAGTGCTGTAGAAGAATCCAGGTGCTCTATTGAAAACTTCAAACGTTTGCAATATTCTTTTTGGTGGAGGGGATGGCTTGCTTTGGGGCTGTTTTGCTTCTGCAGGTACAGGAAGCTTTCGTGTTTAATGAATTTTTCAGTATTGGAGATATTGGATGGAAACGTGATGCAGTCCGTCACACACCTGTAAGGCTTTACGTTGGACCTTTCAACTGGGACTTTTTACCCAAGCATTACCTCCTGTCCACTTAGAGTCATTTTTAGAGGAAAGACTGGAACTTTTTGGAGTGGCCATCGCAGTCACCAGACTTTCTCCATTTGTAGACAACCTTACTGGTGGGACTTAACAGAAACAGTTGCAGGTGCGCAAGCCTAGAGACTTTTGACTAAACTGGAGGCCTTTGCAAGTGAAGAATGGGCGAAGATACCCGTAGGTCGCTGAAGCACTTTTGTGCGAGCTATGCTTCGTTTTAAAAGCTTGTTAAACTGTAAAAGGATGGTGTACTAAGTACTAAGATTGAATGTCACTTGACAGGGTTGAATAAAACTGATAATGATTGTGAGCAAGAAAAGACATTTTGTGGCTTATTTCATTATAACTGTTATGTTATTTTTGTCTAGGGGGACCTACAAGTGCCTCTTTTGTAAATGTAAGCAAGATTTGAATGATCAAAAGCAATGTCAAACATGGCATGGCCACAACTGTATGTTTATGGGGGGTGTTGTGTTTGTGTTGTTATGTATTTTATGTAATTATGCATATATCCATATCCCAAATACATATATATATATGTGTGTATATATATATACTGCATGTTGAAATGTGTTTTTATTACAAAATATATGAAACATATTTTTAAAAATACATTTCAACTATACTGTGTCTTTAAAAATACAAATCTACATTTTTGGAATGCATTTACAAATATATGTAAAAATGTTAAAATTACTTTTTTATAGGTTTAAAAAAAATCTGAAGAATATATTTTAAGAAAAGAGAGTGAAGTTCTGCTTTAGGCTTGCCATACACTGATCGAATTCAGCCATTCTAGTAGGGACCAGCTGAATTTCGCTCAGTGTGTGGGCTTCCCTGCTTGACAGAAGTCAATTGTTTAATTGATTGTTAGGGCTCGTTCACACTAGGCTGTTTTGCCAACGCTTGCCAAACGCCCCTATAGCGTTTGGCAAGCGTTGGTCCGGTGTTTGCGGAGCGTTTTTAACGCTCCGCAAACGCTCCGCAAACGCCGCATGCGCGGATTAGCGGCGGTTGCTAGGCGTTTGCCGAGCGTTAATAACGCCCCACAAACGCCTATAATGCATTTGAGTGGTGTTACCGCTCCGCAAACACCCCGCAACCGCACCGCAAACGCCGGCCGGGCGTTTGCGGAGCGGCACCATAGACGAGAATAGGAGGCTTCAAAGCCTCTTGACTCGACCAGAGGAGTCCGTTTTGCCGCGACGTAACGCGACGCAAACGCTCCTGTTAGAACAGCACCATGTGCTGTAATGTGCAGAATTGGCAGAGGCGTTTGGGAAGCGGTAAAAACGCTTCCCAAACGCCTCTCTGCCGCCTGCACACAAGGCTAGTGTGAACGTAGCCTTAGAGATTTTTTTTTTCAATGTTGTCTTAAAAGCAGCACTTTTTTTTAAGCAGATGCATGCGAGTGCAGGAGCGCATGCGATTTACATGCACTCCCACATATATACAGATGTGAACCTAATCTAAATGCCCAATCGCTGAACAAAATCTTGCAGACGTTGTTTTGGTCCGCAACTGCCATAAATACAACATCTTGGCAGTCCATAAAGCAGTGATGACAGCTGAACAGAAGCCTCCGGATTCCTTGCTTCAGCTTAGTTTTAGATATATGAAGAAGGTAATGCAGGATTATAGGAACAAGTAGATTAGAATGTGAAAATATTTATCTGGATTTTGACAGATGATTAGAAACAACTGTTCAGCCCACCCAGTTGTGTCTGCGGTTTTATTTGATTTAGGCCTTTTAGTTAGATTCAGTGAAGGAATAGAGATTTGCAGACTTGATAGTGCCACAAGTAAATATAAATAGTGGGTATTGTACTGGTAATTCTTGAGTTCTCTGAGCAGGTAGATGTGATTACATTGTCTAATTTTATTTCCTCATTAATTAATTTTTTTTACACAATTCATTTTTATTTATTAACCACCTCCTGCCCACCATATAGTAATATGATGGATGCAAGGTGGTTCTCTTGTTCTGGAGGCCCATTCTAACCGCGCATGCGCGGCTCCCAGAGCGTGCAGCGCGGCGATCAGCGGTGCGCTGTGTCCCTCGGACACAGCGGATCACCGATCAACGGAAGGAGCCGAAGATGTCGGCTCGGTTATGTGATCAGCTGTGTCCAATCACAGTTGATCACATGTAAACAGGGAAATGCCGGTCATCTGTATTTCTCTCCTCTCGAGCTGTTGTGCTGACACGCTGTCACGCGGCATTCTGCGGAGGGGACATGTACACTGATCATCAGAGCACTGATCAGTGTGCCCTGATGATCAGTGTAGCCCCAGCAGTGCCACCTGTCAGTGTCCATCAGTGCCAGCTGTCAGTGCTCATCAGTGCCAGTGCCCGTCAGTGCCACATATCAGGGCCTACCAGTGCACATCAATGCCACATATCAGGGCCCATCTCTGAGCTGCCTTTCAGTGCCACCTATCAGTGCCAGTCAGTGCCGCCTATCAGTGCCATATATCAGTGCTGCCTTTCAGTGGCCATCAGTGATGCCTGTCAATGCCCATCAGTGCCACCTACCAGTGCCTCCTCATCAGTGTCCATCAGTGCCCATCACTGTAGCCTCATTAGCGCACATCATTGAAGGAGAAAAATCACGTATTTACAAAATTTTATAACAAAAACTAAAAAAAAAACGTTTTTTTATTTTCAACATTTTCTGTAGTTTTTGGTTTGTTTAAGAAAAAATAAACCCAGAGGTGATTAAATACCACCAAAATAAAGCTCTATCTGTCACAAAAAAATGCTTAAAATTTCATATGGGTACAGTGTTGCATGACCGCGCAATTGTCATTCAAAGTGCAACAGCGCTGAAAGCTGGAGATTGGCCTGGGCAGGAAGGGGGTATAAGTACCCTATAGGCTAGTGGTTAAAGAAATAAACAACAAACTGTTTATTTATGAGAATGCCAAAGATCAAAAATACATTTTCAATGGAAAATAGTACAATCATGAAAGTGAATCTTTGTAACAAACGAAAGCTATCAAATCTTTGGCTGTTCAATGGTCTTTCACCTGCTTGTTATGCTGTTATTTATTATATGTTGGGGAGAGGGGATATAAGAATCTGTTTACTTATGAAAACAGTCTAAGGCAGGCCATAGACTATGCAATTTTCTTTGCTTCCACCACAGGTTGAAGCAAAGAAAATTTGCTTGATTTCCCCATCAACACAGTCGACGTTGATGGGGGGGGAATCCTTTCCACAGAGCTATTGTGTTCTGTCAGCAGGGAGTCTTCCCTGCCCACAGAACACGATGATTAGTACTGTTTGCTATGGCCAAATAGGAAAAACCTGACCAGCTTTTTGTACACAAGTCGATCGATAGCTCGACTTGTGCACAGCCAAGGTACCCATACATGGATTGAAATTTGGCCAGTCCTTGCTGAACCGTCCCGATTTTAGATCCATGTATATGTCTGGTTTAACACTGCCTTCTCATGGGCATTTAGCCACATTATGAATCCCAGCGACAAGAGTCTATGATTTCTGCGGCTGGGATTGACTCTGTGTGCGTCCAGCCACAGTCACCACGGGTAATTGCTGGCTGTGTGAACAGTTATGAATAGTTGTACACAGCTGTCCGTCCCAGCTGCAGGAATCAGTAGATTGCAGCTTGGCTAAATGCTTATGTGAATGTAGCTTAAGGCAAGGAGAAAAGGAAAGGTTCATTCGTTTTTTTTTGATATTGTGATGCATGCATACCAGCAAAAGCAGAAATATCCATTTTTAGTACCTACATCTTTTTTTTTTTTTTTTTTAGCTTTGAGCCTCATACACATGAGCTCTGAGATTGGTAGACCACAAATCGTCCATCTGTTTATGTGGCTTGAGCAGCCAGGTGCTATGTGCAGGCAGCCCATGTAAGTGTAGGGGGATGCAGCAGCTGCACAGACACAGGCACTCATCCTAATTTGACACTTTCCGTGTTCTACAGGCCTCAGCATCCATGTGTATAAAACCTTGTAATATATAACATTGGAGGTTTCTTTCCATGCCAAACAGGTACAGAGCCTGGAACTATGGTCTAGGGACCTTCTGAACACAAAGCTGGCCATACACTAATAGAATGTGCCCCACACTTTAAGTTTCGTGACAGTGGTCACCAGGACAAATGGTAAAGACGAATTGTCCTAATGGGGCAAGAATAGACATAATCATTTGACAGATTTTAACCCCTCTCCAATTCATACAAACATTTTGTCTTTGGTGGCTTAATCAATTAGCAGTATGAAAATGCAGAATCATTGCTGAATGCCAGGTCACACTGATATGGTGCGGGATTTGCAGCAAATTCTCTGTTTCCTGCATTGCATCAGAATCACGCTCTGTTCATGGGAACTGCTGTGGATGCCTGTAAGGTTATCGACACCCCAAAAAGGTTGTCAGAACACAGTGCTGTTGAGTGAAATTAGTACTCATGATCCAATTCCAGTGAGAAAAAAAAAGGTGCATGCACCTTTCCTGTGGGTGCGGTGCATCTTTAGCCATACAAAATGAATGGCTCAAATCGCACTTCAGAGAATCGCATGTGATTTGAACAACGTGGTGCGATTCCTGTCCGAATCATTCGATTTCCTGCACCGCACTAGTGTGAATCAGCCCTGAATGAGTAGGCTGAAGGGTGACACAGGAATCTGCAAAACTGAACCAGAAGATAATGGTTCCTAACTACACAAGCAAAAGACTTGTATAAATTACAAATTATTTGGCAGGTAAAGCAATTCATATGAATTTATTTCATCTGAGCATTGCCTGGAGTTATGCAGCACAGTGGATAAATGGTTAGCACTTCCACCTGGCAGCACTAGGGTCATTGGTTCAACTCCCAGCCATGGTGAAGTCACGTGGCACGTGACGCAATGCATTGGTACGCAACTTCTGGTGACGCGGTGACGTACTTCCGGGCGTAGAGGCCATATTGGTACACCCAACCCATGCAGTACACCCATAGTATGAGTTGAAAGGCGTTTTTTGATGGGAATACATGTGAGTGTACTATTGGCTCAAGTAATAAAACAATATTGCACTATGGAGGATATTCTTCTTTATATCTCACTAACATGATCCTGAGTGGAGAAAGTGGAGAGTAAGCTGTATTGCAGTACCGTTACCTTTAAGGAGTCTGAGAGGAGTAAGACATACTGCGGAAAGGAGTATATATGACATCTTTTCCTGTGATGAGAAAGTATCCTTAAGGATCGTTTGGGTGATCCTAAAAAGCATGTTGGCCCCTAGGGTCACGTTTTGGAGGTGAGTGGGTATTTCTGCTGTTCTGAGGATTTGGCACTAGAGTGAAGATCACCAGTTCACTTCATCACCTGCATGATTTTTGTTTGTTTTTTTGAAGATCACGAATATATGTTGAACAAACTTTCCCAAAAAGTCCAATTATTTGACATATGTATGGTTAATTATAAGGAATTTTTAAAGTATTTTTGATTTATTTATTTAGTAAGGCACCAAACACTATTCATATTTTTTCCCTTTGCATAAGGGACCACGATTGTTAACCACTTTACGCTGGCCGCACACAACTGTGCGGCCTCCTGGCGTCTGGGCCTAGATGCCGAGCGGCCGCACATTTGCGTTCATGTAACAAAAAAACATATGTACTGAGAGCACGCACCCTGCGCGTTACCAGCACACATGTGCAGTACTCACAGAAAGGTCCCGGTCCGCTCTTTTGATCGGGATCTTTCCCGATCATGTGACCGCCGTGACAACGTGTCATGACGGTCACATGATCCCTAAACCACGCCCCACCCACCCCGCCTCCCGGCGTCTGAAACTCTTAAAGGGCCGGGAGGCGCCGGTGGGAAGGGGTTAAATCACCATGTTTATCCTGAAAAGGATTTTAAAAAAAGGGGGGATTTGTTGTCACGGAGTGTTACCACAAGTGATTCCTGTGGTTATCACAAGATTTGCACTTTATTGGATCCAATTGGTATCAGAGGGATAGGAGGGCCCTGCTCCTTGGATCTTACAATCTAGGAGATGTGTATGTATGAATGTGAGTCAGGGACCTTAGATTGTGTGCTCTTTGAGGATTATGAACTGATGTGTATGTAAAAAAAATAAAATATATAGTGACAGTGTGGCAATCTGTCACCCAGGATTCTCAACAAGGCAGGTTGAGGGGCTCCAGGGTAAGTGTTTGATACGGAGGAAAGTGGCTTTTCACTTTCCTCCTTTGTTTGTAAGGTCTGTTTTGGGATCTGGAGCCTGGAGATTTCAGAGATCTGGGAGGGATGAAATCTCCAATCCTGGGACCAGGTTTTGGGAATGGCCAAGAGTCTGATTGCACAGGTGTGTGCAGGCCTTTTCATAGAGTCAGGACCAGGATTCTGGGCTCCACCCCGGCAGATAGGAGTCAGGAGGGCTCCACCTGGAAGACAGGAGTCAGGAGGGCTCCACCAAGGAGAGGTGGATGCCAAAAGCGGAAAGGAGCTGCTGGGGTAGTAGCTGTGTGCTAGTGGCCAGCTGTGTGCGAGAGCCATGTTTTTGAAAGAGTCTGCAGGAGACAGACGTAAGCCTGAAGAGGAAGGCCAGTGGAAGATTGTGTATATCTGAGAGAGCCAGGAGGCTGAATTTTGTTTATGTGGATGATAGATACCCCTGTGTGGGAAACTTCTGATGTTTTGAACTTTCATTTAAATAAAAGTGGGCTAAAAATGCCTTAAAAAAGAAAGCGAGTTGCTGTGTGCATTTATCCAAGCTCTACCATTTGAAGCGAGTTCCCACAATATATATATATATTTTTTTAATGTGTGTGTGTATGTAAAGCGCTGCATAAATTGACAGCACTATATAAGAACCTAAAATACATTTATGATGCAGAATGCTATTTGAGGGTCTCAAGAATAAATGCTGATATTTCAGATGCTGGGCCTCTTAGTAGATTCTGCATGTAAATGATATACATTGCAGAGCTGATGACAGAGAGGCTGATCGGCGGAGACTAAGGATTTGTGTGGGGCGCAAATATTTGATTGTTCTGCGCACTCCTCTCTCCACCTTTATGGACACAGCTGGGGCCTCACTGGGTACCACCCCACCGCCTGGCCTTGAAGAAACGAAAATCTTTGTAGTTGGTGTTTTTATCTTCACTACACAGCCCAGATGGCGTGTGGGAAAACAAGAAAAACATCTAAATGCCAAATTAGAAAAATATCTATCTTGTAAATAGCTGGAGTTCACAGGATCTGCTGTACACTGAACAATAACTTTTCAATGGTGATTGTAACATACGTTCACTTGACACCAGTTTCACTATTTAATGATGCTTTTTATCTGAACCGACTGAATAGCTAGACAGACCACATAAACACGAATTACTTCAATTTTATTTATAGTTTTTCTGTGATGCCAAAGTGCCGCACTAATTGCTTTCTCTCTCTAATGGAGAAGAAAGTCAAGGTACCCTTGTAACATTAAGGACGTTAAGCTGGAGGAGCAATTTTCATGGACAAGGTTGTGCACACTTTTGTGTTTTATGCACATAGAATATTA